AAAGAAGCTGGTGAAAGCAGGCGCCAAAGGGGTGGTGGTGGCAGCAGTCACTTAGGGGCCTGTCTTTGGTTAGTGTGGTTGGACAAAGTGCCATCTTGGGAATTTTGTTGCCTGGCCCAGTTCAAGGCAGATGGGTAGTGAGAAGTTGGGGAGCTAGGGGGTGGGGATGGGACAGTTGTTTTCTTCCTGTACTTTCACAGTTCCAGAAAACTCTGGGCAGCTGTCCAGGTGTCTTAGCCTCCCTCCCAGGACCCCCCACAAACTGGCCACAGCTGACTTTTGCAAATGCCTCTCTCATTTTCTCCCTGCAGAGGCTGTCAGCTGCAGCCAGACTGATGCACCCTCTGTCCCCCCAAATTCCTTTCTTCCACCACAGCCACCCCTCCCTGTCTCACACCATGCTCTCCTTTCCCCTGCAACTCACAACCATTTTTCAAGGCCCAGTTCCAGCCCCACTTCTTGGGCAACGCATCCCTCGTCTGCTCCCACCCAGTCTCTAGCGCCTGCCCTGAGTTTGGGTTAACCCCATCCCCTGCGGTGGGACAAACAGGGCTGGCATCAGCACGGGGCTGGGCACGCTGCCATTTTATCTCAGCTGACCCTCCCAGTTACCCTAAGTAACTACCATCCCCCCACTTTGCAGAAGAGGAAGGTCGAGCAGTAACTTGCCCAAGGTCATGTGATTAGGAAATGGCCAAGTTAGGATTCAAACCCCCGTCTTCTAGCCCCAAGTTGATAGGGTCTCGCTTCAGGCCTTCACCCCGAGAGAAGTTCCATTGTATCGATTCATTCATTCCGTGAACCCTGGGTACCTGCTGAGGCCCTGGGCTCTCCAGCCCCTGCTTTCCTTGGTGGCCCTTTGGTCAGACAGGATTCTTACCCGACGGGGCGGGGGAGATGGGCAGCAGAGCGGAGGCTGGGGTTTTCATTCCCACTTAGTGGACGAGGGCCCTGAAGGCGGGGGGCGGTCAAATGACCTGCCAGACCACAAGGAAATCAACAGCAGGGCCCGGGGCTCGGGGCATCGGGGGCACTGACTCCAAACTGGCCTTGTCTGCGGCTCTTGCCCGGCGCCTATCCGCAGACTTGGATGAGCGCCTGCACATGGTCAGCGTCTCCAGCATTGGGCTAACCTGTTGGTTAACTGCCCCCCTAATTCCCGAGCCCTCCAGAAGAGGGAGCCGGGCACCTCTGCGCTGCAGGCTCCTCGGGACCCGACGTCACGTGCTCCGCGCGCCCCGCCCGGCCGGGGTTGCCAGGCAACGGGGCAAC